AGCTTCCCGAAAGGAGTCGTGACTCAAGACTTCTTAGAAAGCTAGAGATGCTCTCTACGACTGCTCATTAGAGATAGGCTAGGGAGCGAAAAACAACTATAAGGATGAACGGGATTGTCGACTTAGAGCATAAAGACAGACTTAAGGCTTTCAATTTGCATTCACTAAAATATCGTAGATACGGAGGGAGTGTAAACGGCGTATTCAATATTATGAAAGGGACAGACAAGGTATATCTACAAGGAGCCATGTAAATTAGGCCGAGACTTAGGGGAAACAATTAGCAACAGGTGGGAAAAGAATTATCAACAGGCAAGTGTCATTTAGTTAAAGAGAAGTGAATCGCTGGAATGGACTGCCAAGCAAAGTTGTAGGAAGTCCCTCTCTAGCAGCGCTTCAAAAAAGTTTCGACAAATTCTATCGGTCTACGGATCCCATTTAAGGCAAAATTCAGGCAGGTCACGTAGTAAGATAAGTGCCCAAGATGTGTGTGAAGCCTGAGATAGACCAACGCCGATGGGCCTTTGTGGCTCTTTGTTGGCCTGATGTCTTTATGTCTTTATTTCTTCAACCGTTATTTCCGACGTCATTCTCATGCGCAATGCGCCCGCCGCCTGGTGTTCCCAGCAGCGGTCAACGCTATTCGGCTTTACGGAAAACCGCTAACCCGGCCATCGCTGTTCTTGCTCCGAGATTGTAAGCACACAAGCTCACAATTTTTTGATGCAAATTGTTTCACTGGTCGATTCTGCAAAATAAGGAAGGTTCTCAGGTAAACATCGGCTGGTCTTTTTTATTTTAAACTATTTTCGACACATTTTCCGCCCTAATGAGATCCCTACTATGTCTGGCATAGGGGCCCCTTGGGCAGAACACTGGAGGGACATCGTCGTTTTTTGGCCAAGGGCTTGAGGGTCATTCCGTTCCAGCGCGGTTTGCCTTCCGACAGCTTTTCTGGCGACACGGGAGCGGGGTGCCATGGTCGATCCGGAGGCCCTTAGAAGGATGCATCGTATCACATTGGTCCCCTCCCTGGCGCGGGAGACCTTCCGACCCGCACAGATGGCCCCGGATTGACGCAGGAACTCTCATTGACGCTACAAGATCCCTGATGGCCGCAGGTGGTCCAATAATTGGCACGTGGACTCCAGTTCGGCTCAACGGGGTCGTGGCTAGAATTGGGTTCGGGGGCCCACCGTTTGGTGCTAGGGACCCCGACTGACACAGAACCATTTCATTGGCATTGGAACGCCGGGCCCTGCGGCCCGGAACCCCTGAATGCGATCTTCGGCAGACCTTTTGGGCCCTCAAATCAGGCCTTGATCGTAGATCTCGAGGAGCCCGAAGGGTTCCTCGGAACCCAAGTGGAGGGGGGGGGGGGGGGGCACGTGCCCCCTGTGCTCTTCCTCTACCTGCGCTATTGCCAAATGCTACTACCATGGCGCAGTAGGGATCCCTCAATAGTGATGCAAATTGGAAAATACCAAAGCATAAAAACTGTGTCGAAAAATATCAGCATTCGAAAATCTAGCCCGTAAGTTCGGCCCAATAAGCAAAATGTTGCCTACAGCAAACATGAAAGCAGTTACTGACGAATCGTAAGGATTTGTTTAACAGGCAGTTTAAAAACCCTGTACACGTCAAGAAAACAAAAGAAAAACTCAGGAGCCCACCTCAATCACACGCTGCGTCGAACCCGGCTGGGATTAACGATCCCGACCAATTAGTCATGGTTGTTTACCGAATACAGCTTTTTCCGGCCACGTCGATTTCCCCTATTGAAGGTATTGCAGTTGGCGCAAGTATGCTGTGTGGCGCAGGACGGCCGATACTTTCCCTTCTCACCGCCATATGAGCCAAATTCACTGCAGTTTGTCATTCATTTTTCCCATTCCCGGAGTTTAACGTGTACTTCGTCTAGTAATCTTGAGAAAATTATTTCCGACCTACAAGTGCTAGAGTCAAAGCGTTGAAGCGCTTTGCCTGTTCATTCCATAGTCTTCCAGATTCCGTCCCGGGCTGACTCCCACCGACCTAATCTCCGACCTCAGTCACACCGACGGGGCTGTCCAAAAGACCATTTAAGAACTTCTTGATTATTTCAATTACCGGCTACACAGCGATGCGAGCGAAGCGCACGGATCAATAATTCCAAGCTCCAGTGGCACGCCACAAGTGCTATAATGCTATATGCTGGACTAAAAGGGTTATTTGAGTCTGTAAGTCGGCCTATACCCCCTGCTCAGAGCCTCTGGGCTCGTCACTGCCGAGGTCAGCCGCCGGAGGGGAGGGGAGGAGGTGACGGGCGGCCTCAGATGAGAACGCCGCGCTTTGACGAGCTGCGACGGCCGCCGCCGCCGTCGGACAGCCAGATTGCCACCGCCCGCCAGCTGGCCATCAATCAACGGCGGCGGCCCAGTGTGCGCCGCCGCCCGTCACATGCCATCAATCAGGCGGCGGCGATCCACTGTGCGCCGCCTCCTCACTCGGCCGGCGCCCGCCGGAACGGCAGCCAGATGGCGCCCTCAGCAGCGGCGCTGGCGCTGGCACCCCTCCTGGCGCTGCTCCTGGCGCTCCCCGCCGCCGCCAACAACGGTGAGAGAGCGGCTAGGGTCTGGGCTGTGGCTCCCTAGCCGATGGGTCGTCACAGCAGCTCAAATCACAGCAGTGGCGCAATGTCCGTGACGACTCCTGAGAGTGGCTAGTGGCAGTAGCGTGCGTTCGCTGTCTCACGCAACTCTTCGGAAATAGGCTCTCCGTGCGGGAAGCACCCTATCTACCGAACTTACACTTTGGGCCAAATGACAGCCTCCGACCGAGGCTGCCCCCAAGCAGTGCCCTGGTCCGAATGCGTCCAGGAGCACATGCGCCGCTATAAACGCCCCATCCCTAGCAGTGACGCGACAAGGACACGACACGCGCCATGTTCGGCTGCTGCGGCTTTACCGAGCGCCAGATCAGCAGTAAACCTGAGCGTGGCTTACCGTAAAATGCGCTGTAAGAGTCCTTCTCATTGATCAAAATGACATAGCGGGCGCTGAATTCATAGAGACCACGGCTACCGGAGCCAGCCCGGGTCCGAGCCGCCAACGGCCGTCCCAGCCGTCCATCTGTGGCCAAAATCAACCCAGTCCGGTGATGGAGCACCTCTAACTCTTGCGGCTCCAGGGCTATGAGCTCAGCCTTGGCGGCACATGGGAACTTGGGCGGCGCTGCCGAAGTTTCGAGATTGTGTTCCAGAAACTGCGACGGGCCCATCGCGTGCAGACATTCTGACCCGATGGACGGTGAAATGGCACGCGTTTTCGCACCATGCCGGCCATTCAAAGCCTTCTCCAGCCCACATCCGGCCTCTGGTCGCGGACAACCGAATGCGAGCCTCAGACTTCGTTAATCGCCATTAGCTTCGCCAAGTACATGTCGATCAATAACACGCTCGACAGAGCGCAAAGTTTTCCAACCACCATCATACACAGATACATTTACACTTTCGGACGGCGCTGCGTGCCGATTGAATGATGGCTAGGGCTTTGGGACGTCGAAACTTGCTGATGGCTTTTCGCTCGTTGAGTTGAGACCTGAAGTAACTGAGATCAAGCGGACTGAGCTATGGACGTGAGCAGCTTCAACGTTGGCTTGAGTTCTGCGGAGCCCGCCAACTTTGCCCGGAGCATTCCGATCACACGCTGCAGAGCGTTTGGCGCGCCTGACGTGTAGCCTGACGTCGCCGCCGCTCCGCAGGCGAGCCAGCCAAGCCAGCCGTCCAGCGCGTCCCCAAACGCTGCGACGTCGCCGCCCTCCGCACCGACGCGGAGACGTTCCGTCGCTGCCTGCAGACCAACGCCGAGCTGATCTTCCCCACCTTCAACCAGTCGTCCGTCATCGTCAACAACCTAGCCGCGGTGACGGCGCTCGTCAACGCCGAGATGCGGAAGCGGAAGCTGGACACGGTGGTGCCGGCGCCGACGGCCCGCACGCTTGGCGGCACGCGGCTGCGGCTGACCTCCGTGCTGCCGTTCCGTCTGACAGTGGCGTACCCGCCCCTCGCCGGCACCCCCCGCCGAGGCGGCGGCAAGCCCGACCACTCGGTGACCAGCAGCAGGCACGAGACGACCGTGACGCTCGAGGGCGAGGTGGCCGCCAGCAACGGCACGGTGGTCTTCACCAAGCTCAGCATCGCCAGCGTGCGCTTCAGCATCGACGACTTCGTAGTGGCCGAGGGCGGCGGCGAAGAGACGGTCAGCATGTCCAAGACGACCGTCAGCGAACGCATCGGCCTCGCGCTCGGTGACATGTTTCTCAAGTTCGCCAGCCTGATGCTGGAGATTTTCGCCGATCCCGCTCTCGCCCGGCTCCTGAGTGGCGTACGAGGGATGATGCAAAGCGAGACCGACGGGGCCTGCAGCGGCACGCTGATGGAAAATACAGTGAGGATGGCTGGGAATTTCAGTGGAGATCAGGAGAGGCGCATCGGTCGCGACATGCATAACACGGGGAAATGACTGAACAGGCACACTCGTCTGAGGTGAACAAAGCCTTTCACTATCCTCAAAAATGCTTCCCAGAACGAAATCACCTTATTCCTGGCTGCGGAATATCAGGTGAGGATAGCTGGGGATTCCAGTGGAGACCAGGAAAGTCGCATCGGTCGCGACATGCATAACATAAAAAAGTGACTGAACAGGCACACTCGTCTAGGGCGAACGAAGCCGGTCGCTCTCCTCGAAAATACTTCCCAAAGCGCCGTCACCTTAGCACGAAAAGAACCATGAAAAACGGCAAATGGTGCACGAAAATGCACGCATGAAGAGAAACAGATTTACCAAAAACACAAACCATAGAATTTCGTGGAGAAATGGTATGATGGTGCACGTGCAGGGACATTAAAACACAACGCGTCGATGGACGCAGCTGAAGTCAAGCTAAATAGCACATATACACCACGGCCGCGTAACTAATCTGACTTCCGTTTCGGACTACAAGTAAGCTTAGTTCTCGGAGTCCTGACAAAAACCTCTGCTTCCTCGATCTCATTAGAAACGTACAGTTCACTGACAATATATATCACGACACGCACGACAATAGCACTGCATGACATCCACAACGGAGCTCATACCTGGAAACAACCACTTCCCATATGCTACGACTTAAACACGATTGCTTCGGCTACCCAGTAAGTACTTGCAAAGCAAACAAACCGCACCAGCGTTTCACAAAAACGTTCGGCAACAGCCGCTACAAGTGGAGTACATCACAAACACGTCGGCGTCGGAAAAGGTCGGACAAAATGGCGTCCGGTCGCGAGGGGGCACCGCCTGCCCCACTCTGTGGCCGTCACACGGTCATCTGCGGCTGACGGCGCGCACTTACCGGGCGCAATAGAACGTGGCGGTCGCTCGACACACGCACGCACCGGCACGGCTGGCGGATACAAGTCGGCGGGGAAGCGAGGCAGCGCCGCGGCCGGCAGGGACGCGGCCGCGGCGCCAGATGTCCACGTGATCTCGTACGGAATGAGGGCACTGAGGCCACCGCGGGTCCCTCGCAGCGACCCAGACGGGGCGAATCCCGGGCTACGTGATGGCAGAGATTCACAACAGGGCAGATAACGTCGGCACCACTATGACGGAGCACGGCAGCAGACATATGTGCCTGAGAAAACTGGAATGGAAACGGAACAACACGGGGCTGAACGGGCGCTGCACGCCGTCTACCGTGTATAGGATATGTGATGAGAGTGCTCGTAGAAGGCGACACGACACGGAACTATCCGCACGATCTCTCAGAACACGGGAAGACCAGCGGCACGGGTACACATCGGGACTAGGCCGATAAATGCAGATTTATAGAATATCAGCAGCGTGCTTCGCCGCATACTATCACGTCAGCATAAATGCAGCATATCGAGTCCGGAGTAAACACGGTTGGCACCAGGATTGGACATGACCACTGGCGAATGGCCAGGTGGTCGGGGCCTGTCATCGCGGTGTGCCTCTGGCGATCACATGACCACAAGCTGCGGCGGTCCTTCAGACGTTGCCACAGTGCCCGAGGGCATCCAGCACGCGCTGACGGACGTCGTCGTCCAGCGTGGCCACCAGACAGCCAGTGTTTCTGCTGTCGCCGCTCCGATCGTACCTGGACAGGGCGGGGTCAAGAGGTCACTGGCAGGTTCCCAACGTTCCCAACGTTTCAAAACGTTCACAGACACAAAGCTCCGTCAATGCCAGTTTGGAGCGTGCACGGACAGACATGAGGGCAGGGAAAAGCCCAGCCACACTCGGGAAGGTCGGACATGAGCCATTGATTATAACAGCTTCGGGAACTACACACGTCTCTGACGGGGACTCGCGCGGAACACCGATGCCACCGCCTCCCGTAAAATAGAAATAGCAAGCACGCCCCGGACGCATTCCAGTAGAAACAAACCTGATAGCACTTCCATCCGTGAAGGTCAGGGATCCTCCTAAAGACCGGAGCAGGGCGTCCGGGCCGCACGTGTCCCACAGAAACGTCGACGACAGCGACACCACGAACCCGGCGGCTGAACCCAAGGCTACCTGGAAGGACAATAGGTGGCAGGGTAGTCGCGCCGCTCCTGCCAACTTGCTGTTCACGTAATAGTCACGACTGCTGCCGCCAGCCAGAGGCCTACATCTGCTCACTAGCCTGATCCAAGGGCTTCAGCACGCAGGCAGGGTCTGCTCCGTGCATAACAATGTATTGAGAGCTGTACTAAGCAGAGTGTCCGCATCAGTCTCATCTGTTTTTTTTTCCCTGAAATCAGTTCTTCAATGGTCCCAGCGGTCCTAAAGTAAAATGCCCACAAAGAATACCAGTTGATTAAAATGGGAGTGCGATGATATGACTTAAAACTTGCTGTTCAAAAACGTTGTTCAGAACAAACAAAATATGTTGTTCAAAACGCTTCAATCCAGTGGAGCCCGGCCTTTGGAGGCATTAGGGTTTGGTGCAAGAAATACGTTCTGACCACATTGGCGGCGTCGAAGTGCAGCCGCAATAGCTGCAGTGCGTTCGCCTCGACCAGTTCGGATTCACCATCAATCTAGCGGTCTGTGATTGGGGAAAGAGGCCATCGCGCGATGGGTGACAGACGTGTTTAAAACAAGCTAGTGGCGTTGACAGCTCAAACTGGTTGAGCCAATCCAGGCCATACCATACTCTAGGGGCTTTATCTCCTGCTTCACCACTGGCTGACAGGACCTTGCGCCCCACCTCCCCATTATAAGCGACACTATGACCCTCAGCCGACCTCGCCCCGCACCCAGCCCTGTAGCCCCGGCCACAGACCTGCAGCAGCTTGTAGCCGGCACCGGACGCCGGCACCGGCCGCAGTCCGGCCGCCTGCAGCGCCGCCGTGACGTCAGACCGCTCCGACGATGACGTCATGATGACGGGATCGGCGGCGGCGCGGGCGGGCACGTTGGAGGCACGCCTGCCATCCCAAGAGACGCCCCAGTACTGGGCCGACACCCCAGCTGTCGGCACACGCCATCGGGCGGGCACGTTCACGTGGCTGCCGTCCGTCCAGATGTCGCTTTTTCAGCCGTGTCGTTGACGTGTTCATTGCGTCTCGCGGCGATCCAAAGCTAATCACTCGTGAAAGGGCTGGAAATCTTGGAGTGTTCGTGAGCCCAGTTCATGGCCTACGATCACACAGCCACCATGGTCGAGCCAACGCACCACAAACTACAACAGCCAATCTAACGGTGATGCGGGAAATGCTAATGAATGACGATGTCAAGCTTAATTAAGCTTTCAATGAATAATTCCACGCGTTGAATAAGTCACGTAGCTACGGCAGACAAGACGGAGCTTCTCCGCGTAAAGTCCACTGACACCATGGCATATACGGGAGGTACAAACCAGCCAGAACTTCCTGGCCTAAAAAACGTCGATTCCAGTTTGATGGCCCCCATCTTTACTACTCCCTAGCCTATAGTACAGTATATTACTGCAGGACAAACCGAAGCTTTAACCAAGGTCGCCATCCAGGGAAATATAAGCGGGTGTGGTTGGGTTACGAACGCCGCCTTCAACCAGCTGCACGGCTCGCGCCCGCTACACTGCTACCACCGGCCGAAGTAGTCATGAGTCATAGCTCGAAGTCATTAGCAGAAGCAGAGCACACCAATCTCACTTCTCAATCTCCTCTCTCGATCTCTCTTCCCCCCTACTCCTCTCCTCGCTCCTCCTCCTCTCCTCTCTCCTTCTCTCACTCTCCATCTCTCCTCTCTCTCCCCCCTCTCGATCTCTCCATCTTCTCTCTCTCTCTCTCCTCTCTCCTCTCTCTCCTCT